AAATCTTTAAGTTAAATGTATTTATTGCCAGTTGATGTAATTCAGCTTTTTATGCACTGGATCGTCTTAAATTTAATGGTTAGCCAAAAAAGGGATAACAGAAAACAAAAAGGGATAACATAAAAAAAAATAAATAAAATGAGGGAGAAAGGGGAGGGAGAAACGATTAAAAATCTGTGCTAATAAGCTGAGCTCTGCTTTGCTAGAAGCATGTTTAGCATTGGAGAAAAACCAGAATATACAAATGAGATTTAAGCTTAGCAGTAATAGTGGGGTTGTGCAGTCAATGTGCATTTCCAGAACTGCTGAAAAATAAAAATTCTGACCACTTCTTTAGGAGTGACTGCTCCAGTTACAGGTTTTCTGCTAGATATGAATCCAAGATAAAATTGCCCTATATTGTCAGATGTTTTAAGATTTGGAGGTGTTATATGTACCTATAATGAGTTAAGATATAAATCCTCTACCACAGAGCCAGCACCACCTTTCTTTCTTTTTTCTTTCCTTTAGGATAGGTAAAATGTAAGTTGCTCCTATTTAAGTGCAAGAACTTCTCGCCTTTCTAAAATTCTGGCAACTTTGAGTCATGAGAGAGCATTAAGGCAGGTCGTTCCAAACTAAATCTTTCACTTCAGCCATATGTTGAAGACTTTTTTGAATGTTTTCTCCTCTCTCTTTTCCTGAAGAGCTCTAAATTTGCATGAAAAATAGGGGAATAGAAAACTTCAAGGATTACTGGTAAAAAGCGATGGTGGTGTGGGTTCCTGTAACTCTGCCTTGGGACAAATGAGTAAGTTGCAGACACTTGTTTTTCTGTCTTAAAGATAATGTGAATACTTACTGATTCCAAAAACATATTGTGAGACTTCTTAAATAAGTATTGTCTTTTAGAGGAATATAAGTAATTCTTATCAATTAAGCTTGTACTGGCTAAAAGTTACATGTTGATTTTTAGTCGATATTGACAGAACATATTATTGAAGGGATTTTTAATATCATTTGGTAAAATGCTGAGTTGTACAATTAACATATTGTAGGTTCCAAAGTGATAAGATTCTTACAGGGCTGTAAATTACTGCTACTTATTGCCCATTCTATTTTTTGCATGTAGGTTCTGACAGTTCATCAAAAGCAGCAGAAAATTTCAATTACAAGTGTCCTCTTGGATTTTGTGCATACCACATAAGAAACAAAAAACATTCTTGTAGTTTAATGACTTCATGTGGGAGAAATCTTGAATTAAATATTTGGTATTTTTATTTGGGTTTGCTGTTAAAAATAGGAAAATCTGCAGCTGATTTAATGTCTGGTAGATGGTTTCATTGGGCACTTTAAGGTAGATCTGCCAGCTGAGAGCAGACAGCCCTTCTGCATTGGCCTGGGAGAGGAACCAGGTTCAGCTGCAGTTTCAGCTGCATTGTGCCACAGATGCTGCCACAAATGAAGTTAAAGGTGCTATCGACCATGGTGCTCCACTTAACTGTCCTGAAAATGATACTGGAAATGATGATCCTCATCATGGAAGTGATTAGCCTGCATTCAGTAGGTCTGCACCTGCTTTTAGTCAGTTCAGCAGCAGCTCTGAAAGGGCTAAAGTCAATGCTAAAAATGTATTTGCAGTTTAACAAAGTGAGCACAGTTTTGTCCGCCACCAGCACGCCCCCCTTATTTTTAACAGCCATTAATTTCAGCAATTACTCTTCCTCCTTTCTGGTTTATTGCCTGGGTACCACTAAGGCCAGTGTTGTGACTGTGGTATCAATTTTATTGGAGGTTTACTGCCCAGCTCCCCCAAACCCCACTAATTGCTGACATGGGCAGAACTAAGGGAGCAGCAATGATATAGGAGGCACAAGGCAGGGAGAAAGTTTAAGGCCAGAGCTGCTGAAAGGAGCATTTGTGGAGCCCTCTGAGGATGCCAGCTCCCAGCAAGCAGAACTGACTCACAAGCAGGCTACAAATGTGCAGCCTCTGTGCCAGCTGAGCATCCTTTTCAGCGAGTTGGCATTCCCGTGACAGTGACAGGCGCGCTCCCGTCCAGCCCTCACTCAGAGGGGATCAGCTGGGACCTGGAAGCTTCTCAAGTGCATGAATTCAGGGCTGGCCCTGCCATAAACTGGATGAGAGACACATTTCAATTTGGATTGAACTCCATGCCACTGTGGCTTCCAAACTAGAGCTGGCTCGCTTCTTGTTGATTTGGAGGACAAGCCGCTGGAATGAGCACCTGTGGGGAAATATGTTCTGCTGACTGATCTCCCTGGGAAGGGTAAAGTGGGGATAACCTCATGCAGTGTGTAAAGACACAAAGCCTTTTAAAAAACTACATTAGGTCTTCAACAAAAAGTAAAAGAAAAAATTATTTTTCTTTTGTCATTTGTCATACCATCCAGTACGTTGTACGTTTGTCATTTGCCATACTGTCAGTATGTTCACTCAGAGAATATTTATTTTTTGCTGTTGTATGAAGCAAAAAGGAGATCTATTTGTTTTTACTAATTTTTTAATTAGCTTTTTATTTACAAACACCTGGGACAGGAAAGTGGTAGAAAAATCTTTCCTGTAATGGTTCAGAGCCATTGTAAAATTTGCATTCTGAGAGGTATGCAATGTGGAGAAAAATCTTGGCATGCCAGTATTTTCACATTGTTCAAAATGCTTTTAAGGTCAGAATGGATTATTCTGATAAGAGTGTGACCTCCTGTCTGCAGTATGTGCCACAAAACCTAACCTGTCAGAGGAGTTTCATTTTGGTTTTGCTGCCTTTAGCTCACCTTGCCTGGCTTACTGTGAATATTCAAGATTTGACAGGCTTCAAGGAAAATATACTGGATTCCAGCAAACATACACATCAAATCAAATAGGTAAGTAGTCTGGGTCTAATGTGAAATTTTCAGGGGAATCAATCACCACAGTACTTTTCTTTTCTTCAGGATGTGTATGTGCACTTACTCCCCAATCATCCTGAATGATTAAACACTTACTGAGAATGGCTGACCTTCTCATAGACCTTTCTGACCTAATTACTGCAGTGGATGTCTTTGTCTTTCTGAAGATTTTTTTTCTTCCTGCTCAGCTCAGGTTTTTCAGTTGATATTGGGCTCTTATGACACCCAGCATGGCCCTTCCAGTACTCAAAGTGCATAACCAAAAATTATTATTCTCACATCACAAGGGAGGATATATAACAAATGTTGTGCAGTCACCATTGCCAGCTCCCACTTAATGACAGTCCCAGTATTCTCAAAACACAAAACAAAACATTAAACAAACAAGCAAACAAGAAAAAAAAAAGCATCCAAAAGCAGGTAGTATTTATTTTATCTAGGCATAATAGAGATGAAGGGTTCTACTTGAGATCCTCTTCCTCTGATAGTTTCTTAAGTCACCTCTATACTACTAGGGTTTTGTGGTTGCTTTTTTTGGTTTTTTTTTGTTTATTTTAATAATGTTCATTATGTTTTAGAGCTTTCTGTACCAAAAAGTTTGGGGGAGGGTCTGTAAAGAAATGTTGTATTAAGTCAGGTTAGGTAGAAGGAGTCGTTTCTCACTAACTTCAGTCTTTTAGTCTCTAATGTTTTCAGTGAGGGGAAAAAATCCTTTCATTTGGGCAAGCTTTTTTAAACTCCTTGGGTCTATTTCAGAGGCCTGGAGCTGACATAAGTGAGAAGTAGAACAAGCACCCTTGGTCAAAAGTGTGGTGTAGGCACAAGTAGTTGAGTTACCGCTCAGCCAAGCCCAATTTTGCTGACACCTGAGAAGAAGTGACAAGATTATCAGGCTGGCACTGACAGCATCAGCATGAGTGGAGAAAGCTGACATTTTTTAGGGCTATTAGGTCCTGGAGCAGAGATGACCCAGCTAAGGGGAGCACCCCAGCTGAACGGAGCTCACCCTTCCCAGGCCTGTGATAGGAAAACAAGCAGATCTTCCTAGCTAATCATGTTGGTGCTGCTGACAGCCCCTGCTGTGCCTGGAGGATTTTGCAGCTGTGCTGCTGAGCCAGTGGGGTTGTGTGTGGGTGATAGCCTGTGCATCAGGCTCTCCTCTGCCTTGTTGAGAGCATGGTGGATTACTCCCTTTCGTGTTTTGGCTGCGCTCGCTGAGAACTTCTCCAACAGCTCAAGCTGCGATTTTTAAGCAGCCAGAAGAAACTGATTTATCTGTCAGTGCAGGGAAATGTGCTTTGCAAAGCAGTAAGCTGCATATCTGGGTCACACACTGCATGGAGTGAGGCAGCCCTGTGCAGCTCAGTCAGGAATTAGGCAGCTATCAAAGGTTTGGGGGAGAAGGAAAAAGAATCCTCAAGCAGCAGGGAAGGAGCCTTCTTTGGGATAGGAATCACCATATGCTGAGCTGCTTTCTTGCCACCAGCTGGACAGCTGTACTTTAAAGCTGTCTAGAGGAATAAAGCAAACCCGCCTCTTTATTCCACAATTTTTAAAGGAAAAGCACTTTTTAATTGGTTGATCTTTGTTTTGGGCATCAATAACACGAACAGGTACCATAAGCCTCTCTCTTAAACCATCCTAGCCTACTGTTACTGTAATTTTAGAAACATTGGGGGTTGCTTGCATGTGTCTTTTCAATATAAAAGCAGCCTAGCCCAGCATTCCTTTGGATAAGAGAGGGGCAGAAAATCAGGCTGTACCTCTCCTGTGGGAGTCTGAGACAGCCCTTGAACAATTTCACTGGAAAATGAGTTCCCTGGCCATTTGCTACGCTGGCTCCTGAAGGGGAGAGCTGTGTCCCTTTGCTTCCACAAGGCTCCCACCCCAAAACAAGTCCATGAGCAATACAGCGTGGAAAGAGCAGGATCTTATGATTTCATTTTTCAATATCTTGCAAGAGCGTGCCAGTAATGACATTATTGACGTGGGCAGAGCTCAATCATCCATCTGAGAATGGAAGGATCACACAGGGAACATCATGGTACAGAAGATGATGAAGTTCCATTGTTGTGTCATCCTTGCCTGGAACAGGCAGAGCTGGTGGATCCCAGACACCACAAAAATGGGAGGAATTGGTGGCTTGTGACAGCAGCTCTCCAATGGGTGAGTGGAAACAGAACAGAACATGGAAAGGGAAAAAGTGTAACTGCTGCCTTAAGGAAAAAATTAAAATTATCTGAGATTCTTGCATTCTATTTCATCCTATTTTCCTTCCTAATTTTCTTTAGTACAGTGTATTCTTGTAAGTTTTTAGCTTGTGTGGTGTCTTAATACAAAATCTGCGAGGACAAACATACATCAATTAGATTGTGTCTACAAAGACCATGATCGTGATTTTTTTTTCCTTTAGCATTTTTGGATTAAACTACCTGATTGACTTGGAGAGGAGTGGTCTGGAAAAGGTAGGAGTTTCATTTATTGTTTCTTATGGGCTCATCAGACTGGATTGATGCTAACTGGCTTGTGTAGAAAACCCCAACAACAAAAAAAACCCAAAAACCCCATGCAAACCCATGAGATGTCTTCATGATTATTTTCAGGAACTTGCTTTAATTCTTCTCTCCTCTGATAGTGAAATGGCAGTGAACTAAATTTAGTAGCTGCAAACTAAAAATTCTATTTCCTATATTCAAGGCAGGTACAAGATAGCAATATCTGTCCTTTGAAAATTGCTTTTCCCTTTCCTTCTCCTTCCCTTCCTTCCTCTCTCTTCTGGTCCCTGCTTGAACATGTTTTAGCTGGTAAGAGCACCAATATGGCATTGTGGTGTTGAGTCTGTAGTCCTGCAGAGGCTCAGTAGGTATCATTGTCCCCCCAAACACACTCACAATCTGTATTTTAATATATACCTTTGTACTGAAGTGTTTGCCTGAACTGAATCTCCCTTTTTTTTTTTTTTCTGAATATAATCCAAAGCTCATTAACAGTATTTAATTCTGCAGGGGGCTGTAATCTAGTCAAGGGCAAAACAGATTAAGTCAAATGGGTGTCTGCCTCACTGGCATGGTTTAACCATGGCTGGCAACAAAGCACCATGTAGGAAGTGGAGAGAGCAACAAGAATCAGAAAAAAAAAAAAAAGATAAACACCAAGGATTCAGATAAAAATAGTCTGATAATTGAAAAAAATATTGCTAAAAATAATAATGAAGAAGAAAAAGAGATATATATATAACTATATATATAGTCTATATGTAGCTATATAACTATGTATATAGATATCTCTCTATACATATAGAGAGAGAAATATAACTATATACAGAACTATATATATGTATATACATATACTGCTGAACGCCAACCAAACCATCATTGTGTGATCAACATTATTCTCACACTGAATCCAAAACTCAGCTCTCTACCAGATACCAGGGAGAAAATTAACTCCATCCCAGTCAAAGTGGGCACTCACATCACACAAAAGTGGATGTAGTGAGGGGCCTATTGCATTCTGATAAGTTTTCCAAGGTCAAATATACATATGTGTATATACATTCACCATTTAAAGGGTACAACCTTGTTTTGCCACTCCAAATTCACCATTGTACAGTACCAGTTGTACAGTCATTTAAATGGGAGGCAAGATATGCTTACTGGATTCAGAGAACAGTATCTCATTTGCAGATTTTTGAGCAGCAGGTGATATTAAAGGGTTTGGGTAGTTCTCTTTCTGCGTTTTTTTATGTCAGGAGAATTAAGACTGTAATAAAATGGTTTTGAATTATCTTTATTTGACACATAATACTTGAAATACTGTATGTAACCTGTTTGTATTTTGGCAATTTTATTGTGCTGAATGTGGGGAAAGAGAGATCATGGTGTAAGAAAAATTCACAAAGAGTTTTTCTATTTTTTTTATTTTTTCATGGAGACCTAGGACCAGTGAGGTGATAATAATAAAAACAGACAATTTAGCATAATAACAAATGCATGTAACAAGGCTTCAGCTTGCAAAACTTTACTTCGGTTTCTTGGTCATTTTTCAGCATGCAGCACTTGAAATAAACTCTGATCATAATTCAGCCAGATTTCCTCCTGATGTTCAGTAAGGGAAGGATTTGTGCCCCATTTTTCTGAGGGTTAAACTTCACACCCCTGACAGAGTGCAGGTCTGCAAAACAGGCATCCTTAAAGGGATTCAAGCACACCTCATTTTTGTAACCTCTTACATTTGCCTCAGTAAAACTCTGTGCTGCATGTGGAACAGCTTGCAAGGAAAACTTCAAATCTTTCCAGTGCCTGTATGCATAAATGTAAAAATCTCCATCTGGTAGTGTACAGTGATACATACTGGCCAGTTCTGTTGCTGAAAATTTAAAATCTATAACCAATGTCAACCAGTGCATTTTAAACACTTTATTCAGAGTTTGAAGATCATACATAATATTTTTTTAACTCAGATACTTTTTGCATTCAGGTGCAAAGGTGGAATTTTAAAGTCTTTGCTGAACATGTTTTTAACAGTTCCTTTTTACAAAGGTTGATAAATTCTGAGGGAATAATATCAATCTGGAGTCAGACCTCATATCTTCCTTTAAGGTCATAGTATTAAACTTTCACTTTGGTCATGACCATGATTTTTATTTAAAAATAATAATAATATGATGTCTGCTCTGGAGAGCTGTAGTGACTTTAGGCAGATATCAGAAAGCTTCTGCAGTATTCCAGCAAAATTAGTTATTGAGCTTGAATGATACACATTTAGGAAGGGATTGGAGGGCAGAGGACCCACTTGAGTCGAGTGTTTCTGTGACAGAATTAATACCAGCCACTGTAGCTTTAGCTCAGTGTTCACTGATGCAATTATATGACTTAGGAAACCTTGTGAAGTGATGTTGAACTTGTAATTTTCATTCAGATTCCTTCCCTTTCTGGGTCATTTGCAGTGCAGACGGACTTCAAATTGAAATAGCGTTCCTGTATTGAGTGACCACAGACAATTTTATTATAAATAATCCTGTACACATTTATAGGTTATGTGCAGATAGGATTAGAAAACTAGAATAGTTTGAAAGGCCAGAGTAGGAGTCCATCAAATACCACCAGAGGAAAAAGATCATTATATGTATTAGTGTCTAGTTTCAAATTGCATCTAAGTTTTATCTTTTTAGTAATGCATGATTCTTTCACTCAAATTCATGTTGTCCTGGAATCATGCAAAACAGGGGGAAGGCTTGGCTAAACCTTGGCTATCATGTTGTCAAAAATGTGTATTTCGTGTTTTCTTGCTTATTCCACTGTGCAAAAAATGCTTTGGATATCAAGTGTGAAAAATTACCACAAAAACAACAAAGGAACCTGTTATTAGCAAAAAAGAAAACAAACTACATCCAGGAAAAAAAATTCACTTTCAGGTTAAAACCAGACCACAGAGGATGCTGGCTTTACATGCAGTTAATGCTCTTGTGTGGAATTATCCAATGCAATCATTTTCCTCAGCATGTTTAGCCAAAATACCTCTTCCTGAAATTGCTCCCAGAAATAAAGCACCTTGTAATTTTTGCATTCTGATCCAGTAAGGGAAAGCTTCACAGGAGGAGTGTTGTGTGTGAATTTTGCTTCTAAAATGATGAAGTTATTTGGGCTAATAGATTCTAAATACAGGGAAAAAGCATTGTGTTGTTTACCATCTCTCCAAAGCAAGACTTTGCAGAACAATATGGATTTACAGAACAGCTCAAGTAGCACAAGCTAAAATGTGTTTCTGTTCTGGCAGAGCTTTTTAGGTGCCTGCCCTGAAGTCTCTGCCTCAAATCACACTGACAGGTGTGGCAGTGGGTTTGCAGGAAGCCTTGGTGACCTCCAGAGAGGCTGCTGGGCACCCAAGCCACCCCAGGAGGGCCTTCACCTCTCTGGAGATCACATTAGTTCAGCACATCAGACCTTTCCTGTCAGTGAAAGGAGAAATTGTTTCCTTCTCATGGGCTGGAGTATTCCCTGCCAGCTGCTGGTTTTACCTGCATGGCCAAGGCAGAGCACAAGGAAGGCTCTGAGCTGGTCTGTGAGGTCCTTGTGTCCCCCTCTGTGGAGCCTGGCTTAATGCTGCTGCCACCACCAACCTCTCCAGAAACATACCAAGGGTGGAGGACCTGCCAGAGAGGGTGGGAAGGCTTTGAAGAAGGAGTAGATTCATCTTTGGTTTACATGGAGGGCAGCCAGGCTCCTGTTCGATGCCCTGGCATTCCCTGAGAATCACACTACAGATCCCAAATTAAAAACAGGCTTTTGTCCCATAAACCTCATGACTGTGAGGAGGATTAGCTGAAGATGTTTCTCTTGGAGAAGCCAGTCTGGGGCTTGAAGACATTTAGGCAAATAATTTCTGAATAGCTCCTAACATACCTAAGTCTATGTTAAAATTTTATATATATATATATACACCTTACAAGTCTGCAGCCTTCTCATTACAGAAATATATTTTAAGTGAATAATCATATTTACCTTCAAGGGTAATTTTGCCACAACAATTCTAGAAAGTTGGCAGTTGGAAATGAAGGCAGAGATTTTTCTCAAAGAGCTGCTGAGTAATTATAGTCTTCCTGGTGCACTAACTTCATTTATTACCCAACACATCTTTCCTTCTTCTAATTAGATTCAAGTATTTCCCATGCTTGAGCCTTACAGGAGGGTTTCAGAGTTGTAAGGATGGCATTATGTAGCCTGTCCCGTAGGTTTGTGAGACATATTTCTTCCAGGGTGCAAGGGAAATAAATGGAGTAACACGTTCTGTAGGCTCTTGGGGAGTAGAAATACCTCCAGGTATCTATTGACTATACAATAGGTGGATCTTTGATTGGCCCATGTTATTTGTTTCTAATTAATGGCAGTCAGCTCCCTCAGGCAGTGAGTCCGAGCTACAAACCTTTGTCATCATTCTTTCCTATTCTATTCTTAGCTAGCCTTCTGATTAAATCCTTTCTTCTGTTCTTTTAGTGTAGTTTTAATATAATATATATCATAAAATAATAACTCCAACATGGAGTCAGATCCTCGTCTCTTCCCTCATCCTAAGACCCCTGTGAACAGAGTCACAATTTTCATTCAAATTTAGCAAAAATTCTCTAAGTTTAAAGGCCTACACAAACTTTGATGCAAGCTGAACATGGATTTGAAAGTTCATTTCCTCTCAGGTCTGCATACGCCAGGGAACGTCTGCATGCTCACAATCAGTTTATTAATTCTGCAACCTATTTTCTGTGATGTAGTGATGGATGAGCAGGGATGAAAATGCGCTCATAAAGATTACCTTTTGCCATAACTGCCACCCCGTGTGCTACCATAAAACAACACCCTTATTGGTAACAGGAGGTGCAGACAGGAGCTGCTCTCTGCACTGTTTGGTGTTTTAACTGTGTAATTACTTCTGTAATTAACAATGGAACTGCGCTGTGATTTGTGGCTGCATTCCTGCAAGTATCTCTCAGTAAATCAATGTGGATGTGCCAGGGCTGTTACTCAAGTTCCATCACAAATATTTACAGGAGTACATCAAGCCCACTGAATTATAGCTGCTAAATTGCTGGGAATGGTACCCACGAAAACAAATTCTGTTTGTACAAGAAAGGAGGCACAATCATTCTTTAAACACTGTGATAAATCTTACTGCTCTGAAAAGGTTGAAAGGCATTTGCATTTGGCCAAGGCATTGAAATGCATCTTAATAGACTTAAATGTTCAGCGTTGTTAATGAAGAACAGCAGAACACAATCATTTTATGGGAGTGATCAGGTGGGTTCAGTGGAATTGAGGTTGGGTTCTGCAGTTGGATCCTTCTCATTGCCAAAACTCTCATTTCTCCGTGGCAGCAAATCATGCAACAGACTTGCAGACAAATATAGCACCAGAGCTATTATCCTATGGAAATAAACAAGAGCCATTTGTTTAGTCAGCAAATGTATGCTTAATAAAGAATACAGATTACGACAACATTTTCAGAACTGCTGTTAGCTTGATTGGTAAAATGGTCCCTTTAAAAAATTCACTGAACTCAGGAACAATAAAATGTAATAGAATCAGTATCCCTGGGGGTTTGCAGGTTGCTGTATAATTCTGAGAAATAAGCCTTACCAAATCAACTCTACCCAATGGTAGAGTTCTACGCAGCCTCTCTTTAAAGACATAGCTAACATTTAAAAATGTGGAATGTTCTTTACTTTTTTTAAACTTGCTTTGAAAGAAGAGGATAATTTTATGTACAGCTTTGCAGGATCAGAATGAAATCCCTTCCTATTAGAATCTATGTCATAATAAAATCTGAATGCTATTTCAGATTTAAAACTCAGTATTCTTTTATGTCATGGAACATGGGCATCCTAGGTAAAAAATTCTTTCTTTCTGAAGAAAAGTAATTCATTTTTCTCTATCCCTCCTTCTTTTTATCATTAAAATTATTTTCATTTGTCAATGAGGAAATGCTTATTCTGTCTCAATATCAATGACAAATAAGAATAATTTCATACCTTAAAGAATATCTTGTTTGTATCACCCATCTACATTTTTATTACTTGTTATGTGCACTGCAATGACTACACACTGTACATCCAGGGAAGGAGAATGGAGCTGTCAAAAATTCCCTTTAGTTCTTACTGTAGGAGTCTTTCTATGGAAATAAATTTTTTCCATCTTTTACAAGTTATTAATACTGATAGATGTTTTACAAGTTATTGCTTTTGATAAGGTACTTCTTTATTTTAGACTTTATTATTGGGGGTTTTTTTAGTGGATGCTCAATTCTTCACAAGTTTTGTGATGTTTTACTGTGTGTTTTCCTAATTAACAGGTAAATATGCAGAGAATATAACAAGAAATAACTAGAAAAAAATGGACTGACCCATAAGCTATCACCTGATTGACACTTTGTTTTTTTGAAGTCTAGAGAAATGGATATAAAAGAACTCTACCCTCTCCTATAACATTCAACAAAAATCGACCCAGGTGATCTCCCATGGCTGCACTGCTCTGTCTTTCAGAAGGGTCAGGGGGATTTCCATGTGAGGCCCAAGCAGTGGTAAGCTTTGCTTTTTACTTGTAAATATCTGCATTCCAGGGAAATCTGTCATATATTATAAAGGAGAGTAAGAGACTAAACCCAGTACCTGTCATTCTTCTGCCAGAGCCTGTTTAAAATGCCCAGAACATCAAGAAAAGGAGGAAAACTGACATTGCTCCCTTGAAAGCATGGAGACTTGGTTTGCGGAGATTTTTTCTTATTGCAAGCATCTCTTTGTCGCTTTGTCTGCCTTTGGAGCCAGCAACCTCCTCCACTGCAGAGCTCCCTTATTGTGCCCTGCACCAGGTGGCCAAGCCCATGGCCATGGGCAGCTCATCCCACTGTTTCCACCCAGGGGAGCCTCCTTTGGAAATCCCTGCCCTGCACAGCAAATAGCATCCAGCTCCTCCCCAGGCTGAAAGGTCTTTTGGGGCCTCAGAATTGTTTCAGCCACCTGAGTCCTCCTTTTTGAAGCGAGCACTTTTGATGCTCTGAGCGCCAGTCCCCAAAGAGCAGCATCATTTTGAACTGGAGAGTCAATGGTGTTACAGAGATGGGTTATTTGAAGGCAGTTTTGTTGTGGCTGTGTAACCTCAGTTCAGTGACAGACTCTGTGTGATGGGGCAGCTCTTCTGATTCATTTGTTTTGTTGTGTTTCACTAACCTGTCCTTTGTTTCTGACACTAGCTTGCATGATCTTTCAGTCAGACCACCTTGTGTGATTACAGAGACATTTGACTAATCACATTTTGCACTTCTCTGTGATTTTCAAATGCAAACAGTACAACAGAATTCATGCCTAGGTGCTTCAGCTTAGAGCCAAACTGAAATAAGAAAACAAAGCTGGTCTGTGAGTTGTAGTCCTTTGACAACACAGGGACTTTGTGTGCCATTTGATATTGTTTTAGGTATAAAACATACCTAAAAGTGCCTTATATTACTTTAATGTTTAGGAAGAAGACAGCTAGGTATGAAGGCAGCAGACAAAGCTGTATAAATAATGTAAGCTTGAAGGCATGAGAAGTGCAGTGGAAATCAGCAACCTTGGAATGTATAGCAGTCAGGTCTTTTAACTCAAGAAATAACATGGAAAAATAACAGCAGAATTATTCTGTGACATTCACACTCAAAAATAACAGCAGAAACAAGTAGAGTGCTTTGAAATTCACCACCTATAACAGGTGCCTTTTGAAAAGCGGAATCACCTTTTCTTCCTCTTATTAAATACTAAACACTTCTAGTCAAGGAAGCAGATGCATTTGAAATGTAAAGAAATTCAAGAAGTCACTTTACAGGCACAGTTACAGAGGAATTTTGTTTTGAATAACAAAAAAGAGTTTCCTTTTTCCCTGGGATGGCACATTATAATTGGCTTTCAGCTGATCTCAGAGCCACAGGAAAGGCCAATCTCTGGGGCAATGCATTCAGGACACAGCTTCGGTTTGAATTCTGAATTGGATTCTTGTGGTGTGAGGAATATTCTGAATATTTACACATTCTTTTCCTTTTCTTTTCTTAGAACGCCTTTGTCCTGGAATGTGCTGTTTCTGGACTGACATAATTGTTCTGTAGGAGCCATCTGAGTCTCTCAGGTAAATACAAAACTGTTAAAATGTGCATTGTGTGAGTTCCCTTTACTTACCTGACTAGCCTTCATTTTCAGAATTATTATAATCTGTTGTGTACCTCTGTCATTAAAAACTCACCCAAAGCTCATCTGTAAGCTAAGAGATTGTGATAGCTTCTTTTTCTTTTTCTTTTTTATTTTTTGAGCAGTCCTAGGATAACATGTTCATGAATTTCTGCAGACTTTGGAATCCATGGGTTATTCATTGATCATGAATATGTGCCAGGACTGCAAGCTGAAAACCCCCTTGAGCATTTTATTGGAGATGTTCCTGCATTCCCAGCCTCACTTTGAGACAAAATAACATCTCAATCATTTTTATTTTCTCCTTGAACACTCAGCACAGGGCATTTGAAGAAAGGTCTGTGAAGGTTCCTTCATCACCATTGCGTTAGAAAAGTAATTTTTCCTCTCTTTCCTGTTTTGAGGGTTGTGTGTTTTCTTAGGGAAGCGATCCCATGGAAATGTGGGATGAAGGGTCCTTTCTGGGTAGCTGGGAGAGCCTAAAAAACAGCACAACAGCAGCTGGTTGGAAGGGGGAGAAGGTGCAAAGATTATTTCCCTTGGGGCAGGGAGAGAAACCATCACAGGAGTGCTCAAGTATTTTCACAGGGTGGAGCTGATTGCACAGAACTTTGATTTTTAGCAATCAGTTATTCTTTTAGATCCATTCCTTCTTTCACTGCATTTTTGGATTTAAAAAAAAATCTTTCCTGACTTACTCTCAAATCTAACACAAAAGAAAGCAAAGTATATCAAATTTCTAATAACTCTATCTAATGTTTATTCCCTTTGTATGATTTACAGAGTTTAAAGTGTTTTGCTGTTGATTTCAGGGGTGGTGGATGGGTGTAGCATTTACATCCTCTAAAAAAATTCTTTTGCCCAGGATTTTTCTCCTGGGAAGCCGAGAGGCCTCAGAGAAAAAGAAGACAATTCTTATCTCATTTGCTTCTCCTGTGTTGTGCTCATCTAAAATGTGTTTAGAGATTGTTTACCCAAAGGTGATTACCAAATTAGATTCTGGTGTGAGTTGTTTTGACTCTTTGGCCAGTTGGGGCCAAGCTGTGTTGGGACTCTGGAATCATGAGTTTTCATTATTATCTTTTTAGCATTCAGTAAGTATATTTCTGTATCCTTTAGTATAGTTAGTGTAGTATTCATTAATGTAATATAGTATAATAAAGTACTAAATTAGCCTTTTGAGAACATAGAATCAGATGCATCATTCCTGCCTTTCTCAGGGCATCCCTGTAAATAGAGCAAATGGGAAGAGGGAAGCAAAGATGTGGGATCTTTAGAAAGCCCTTCCTTTTCTTCCAAGTTTTCACTGCTGCTACCATACCAGCTCAGGAAAGGAACACATCTTTCTCTTGCTGTAATCTGAATGTGAATCTGAGTTTCCTAAGGAAGATCAAATATCTCCCATCCAAGCACAAATAAAGAAAGGCAAGTTGAGGGAATAGTGCCAGATACCCCAGGCAGTGCCATTTGACATTGTCAGAAGTAACGCGTAACCTACTGCTGAGCGTGTTGCAGTCTTACCTGTGTCAACACCCAGAGAGTTTGTCTATTCTAGTCCCATCCTGAGACCTCAATCCTTCCTTTCAGACAGCAGCAGCTGAAATGCTCAGCTGCAGAGAGAGAGCTGTGCTCTGGCAGCCCTGACCCCAGGCAGTACGTTTACAGGGGGGATTAACTGTGATTGTCGGGCTGCAGATGCTGCAAAAAGGGACCAGGGCAGGGCTCCAGCCCCTCTTCCACCTGGGCATTGCTCCAGCCCCTCTTCCAGCCTGGATGAGAGCGGAAAAGGAGCAACAAAAGGAGGGAGCAGGGGCTCACCCCAGAGCCTGTGTGTTATTTGATACAGCCCACATGGCTGCAGAGGCTGCAGGCTGCCTCTTCTTGTTCTCCACACTTGGTTAGGGACAATCCCACTGCTCCTGGGTGGGATGGATGGCTCCATCCTTTGGCTCTGGTGCTTTTACAGCACTTGTGATCACAATAAATTACCTGCACTGGCGTGAAGAATAACCTGCTGAGGACAGTCACAGTGCAGAAAAGCTCAGCACCACATGAACAAGGAATTGAAGAGCATATATTAGAGATTTTATTTGACAGGCTAATGCACCATAAAGTTTTGCTGGTCTTAAAGAGAGAGGTTCAGAGATGCTCTTGTAGAGGAGAACTCTGCTGGGGTCTGGTAGCTCCTCATTACAGTGTTCTCACAGGACCAAGAGAGAGGAAGTTGCAGGAAAAGCATGCAAGATTCTTTTGAATAAAACACCTTCCCCCCCCGCCCCTTTCCTTTGGAAACATCTTATACTAGTACCAATTAAAAGCTTTTTCTATTTTTATTAGGGTTTGGTATTTATTTTATTTTGCTAAAGAAATCTATTCTAAACCTAAATATTGTGCACTAATAGCAACTTGTTTCTAGTTAAAAAGGCAAAAAAATAAAACCCTAAAGCCAAACCCAAATAAACTTTAAAATTATGTGTTAGAGGAAAGATATTTTCTCTGACCAAGTCTAGTGAATAACTGATCTGAAATAAACCCCAGTCCTGCTCTGCCCTCACCATCATAGAGCTGTCGTTATAGCTGTGCTCTGGACATGCCAGGCACCATAACTTGAGCAGGTTTTATTATCTTTCCCCCAGGCAGGTACAAACATTGCATGTTTGTACTCTATACTTCATTGAACCTGGAAATCAATTAGAAAGTTCAGACAATGCAGTAGTTTTTATTTTCTCATGTTTTGAAACAAAATCCCTTTGTAATGCCTGAAACACATCTTCAAATGATTTTTCCTGTCCTGTTTACCTTCCAAGGGCCATAATATACCATTGATTATTTTTTTCTTTCCTTTCTTTTAAAATTAGAGTTTCCTACTGAAATCAATGGGGAGTTTGCTCCAAAATCAATAGGGCATTATGGCCCTGAAACTTAAGACAATGTTGGCTCCTTAATCATATCAGGAAATGTGATTAGGATGCCACAAACAAACCACTAATCTACAGATACAGGCACAGCTGCTAAATTAGGAGCAACCATCTTTACCAGAGCATAGGTCCATTTAACTTCAGTGGGATCTTTGAGAAAAAGCAATAGAAACAAGAAAAAAATGTCATCAGATTTATGAACCAAACTCCTGTTGCTGAGCTCTGATAACTCTTCAAGAGCAGGTTGGTGTTTTATTACACAAGCAACTGATTTTGTGGTTCGAAACTCTTATGGACCTTGGGGAGTGGGAAAGCAAGAAACAAATGATGTTCAGAACATTAAACTGCCTGTTCCCAAATGAACAGGCTGAACTGATGAAAAAAATCTCTCTCCAAAGACCTTTTGGGCTGACTGGACTTTGTAGGGCAGGAATTTACAGAATTATTGTTGTGGAAACAAGTGGAAGTACAGATTGCTTCTCCAAAATTCCTTGTAGTCATGAAGGGTTGCATTTGGAATGTTTTGTATCTAATATTTCTTATCATCTTTTTCGGTCCTTTTCAGATCTACAGCTCTGGTTGTTGACATTGTGTCGGAGTCTCCCCTTAGTTTTTAATAGAACTCTGTGCCCACTCAAGGGACAGAAGCTACGGGGACCCTGTGTAAGAATTTTTCTTCACCAGTCCCATGTTTGGATAGATTTTTCACAATTCAAATTTTGCATATGCATATTTTTGGCAACTGAGTAGCAATAAAGCTCTAAATTATAGAATTGTAAGCAGTATGGTGAGGACAGCGTTGGCAATATTTAAATAAAAAAAATGTAGAAACTGAAGACTGGGTTTCCCATTTAAAATGGTGCAATAAATTTATTCACAGTATTAAAGACACTTCTGAGCAAGTTACTCTCAAGAGAAAATGTAGGAAGAAACTATCTGTGTATGGTTGCTCTGAAGGAGGTGGTGCTTCTGGTATCTCCTGTGTCAAGGCTTAAGGTTAGAGAGTTGGTTATGGAATGAGCTTGGGTTTTTTGGAATTACTCCTCTTGAGCAATTCACTTCATCCCTAAAAGCGACTTTAAAGAGTTATCACACTTTTCAAAGGCTGAAAGAAGAACTGGGATCCAGATTATTAGTTCAGCTTGTGAGTCAAGAATGATTAATTTTCTAAAATCTGCTTATATTACTTTGCCAGTGAATACTGAGCAAAGCTTTTGTTTATCTTCCACACGTGGTCACTACTGCAAACAAACAAGTTTAATTTGCTTTGTAAGCTTATTACCAGAGGCACAGTGGAGAACAAGAGCTGAAAAGAACCTCTTGCCTCTGTGGTTTTATTAAGAACTGTTTTCTCCAGAGAACTTTCAGCCTGTCAGATTAGAAATGCAAAGAGACCTTTTACTGTAACAGCCTCACACTTATCCCCTTAGTAAAGTTTGCTTTTGTGATAATTACATTTTACCATCTACAGTTGTTTACTAAATGAACAGCTTTTCTCTGCTGCTTCCAACCCTGACACTTTTCCTCTGATAATTTGTGGTTACAATGAAATATTTAGAAATATGTGTTTGCCTTCTGTTTGTTGTCTTCCTTGTTTTGCTTAGATAGCAAGTGATTTTGGTTGTGGTTCTGGTGATTATGGACCACAGGACTTGTTTGGGATTTATGCCTGAGGTAACACAGCATTAATGCTGCTGTTTGCACAGAGAGGGAAAAATGCAGGCTCATCTTTTCTCCCTGTTAAGAGAAGAGGAACCATTCTGTGTTAAGGAGGGAGCTCCCAAATCTCAGAATGGCCTGAAGGTGCAGAATTTGAGGACAGCATCCTCTGCAACGCAAACAGGTTTTCTTATAGGAAATATTTTGTGTGCAAATGTTTTCATGGTATCTCCCTACAAAAATGTTTCCCTTTTTTCAACTTTGTGGGAAATAATGAGCCTTTGCTTGCATGAAAATTTATTATTGTGTATTAAACCATGCTGCTTACTAATACTGATAATTTTGGAAAAAACAACCCAAACTAC